ACCCGGCTCTGGACCTAGTTTCTTGGAGCAACCAACTCCGAAGGAACTGCCCCCACCCCAGCGTGTTAGATTGGTTGGGATACTCGGCTTTGAGACGCATTTAAGGTCTTAGGAACTGAGCGAAGCGCTCAGGTGGCCCCGCTCTCCCGACTCCGCTTCCGCGTCTCCTCCTTGCGCCACGCCCCAGCTTTCCCTTCCCCACCCACTTGGGAGTCCGAGCTGCTTATTGGTTACATGCCCTGCCAATCCAGCGGACGTTGACGAATCCCGCCTTAGGAAAGGCAAAGAACGAACTAAAGCGCCTACACCTGGCCGGGGGGCGCGAGCCTAACGCTCGTAAGCTGGTGGCTACCCGCGTGGAAGGGCGGCTGGAGGCCGCTGGGGAGACCCGGTGGGGGGGCTTCATTTGCATAACGGCCGCCCCGCCTCTGAGCGCCGGCCGGGGTCCCGCCCCTCACCCAACTAGAAATCTGTTGGGCTACGGGCGGGTCACTCCGACCCAGGCAAGCCTGTGGCGGGCGGTCCTGGGAGCGGATTGGCTCCGGTAGTTTCCAGAAGGCGGCAGGGAGGCGGCTATAAGAGCAGGGAGCCGAGCAGGGGGAGTGGGAGACGGTGTCTGCGCTCGCGGTTTCTAGTGCGAGGCAACCGTTATTGAAGCCGCAGGTTTTCTGTCCTAGGTGTTGCCGCCTAACGTCGCTTGCCTATCTTTCAGTCAGGATGTCTGCCCGCGGCCCGGCTATCGGCATCGACCTGGGCACCACCTACTCGTGCGTGGGGGTCTTCCAACATGGCAAGGTGGAGATCATCGCCAACGACCAGGGCAACCGCACCACCCCCAGCTACGTGGCCTTCACCGACACCGAGCGCCTCATCGGCGACGCCGCCAAGAACCAGGTGGCCATGAATCCCACCAACACCATCTTCGACGCCAAGAGGCTGATCGGACGGAAGTTCGAGGACTCCACGGTGCAGTCGGACATGAAACATTGGCCGTTCAGGGTGGTGAGCGAGGGAGGAAAGCCCAAAGTGCAGGTGGAGTACAAGGGAGAGATCAAGACCTTCTTCCCGGAGGAGATTTCCTCCATGGTCCTCACTAAGATGAAGGAGATCGCCGAAGCCTACCTGGGAGGCAAGGTGCAGAGCGCGGTCATCACGGTCCCGGCCTATTTCAATGACTCGCAGCGCCAGGCCACCAAGGACGCGGGCACCATCACGGGCCTCAACGTGCTGCGCATCATTAACGAGCCCACCGCGGCGGCCATTGCCTACGGCCTGGACAAGAAGGGCTGCGCCGGCGGCGAGAAGAACGTGCTCATCTTTGACCTGGGCGGCGGCACCTTCGACGTGTCCATCCTGACCATCGAGGACGGCATCTTCGAAGTGAAGTCCACGGCCGGCGACACCCACCTGGGCGGCGAGGACTTCGACAACCGCATGGTGAGCCACCTGGCGGAGGAGTTCAAGCGCAAGCACAAGAAGGACATTGGGCCCAACAAGCGCGCTGTGCGGCGACTGCGTACCGCCTGCGAGCGCGCCAAGCGCACCTTGAGCTCGTCTACGCAGGCGAGCATTGAGATCGACTCGCTGTACGAGGGCGTGGACTTCTACACGTCCATCACCCGCGCCCGCTTCGAGGAGCTCAACGCTGACCTGTTCCGCGGAACCCTGGAGCCGGTGGAGAAGGCGCTGCGTGACGCCAAGCTAGACAAAGGCCAGATCCAGGAGATCGTGCTGGTGGGCGGCTCCACCCGCATCCCCAAGATCCAGAAGCTGCTGCAGGATTTCTTCAACGGCAAGGAGCTGAACAAGAGCATCAACCCCGACGAGGCGGTGGCCTACGGGGCCGCGGTGCAAGCGGCCATTCTCATCGGGGATAAGTCAGAGAACGTGCAGGACCTCCTGCTGCTCGACGTGACCCCGTTGTCGCTGGGCATTGAGACGGCTGGCGGCGTCATGACCCCGCTCATCAAGAGAAACACCACGATCCCTACCAAGCAGACGCAGACCTTCACCACCTACTCTGACAACCAGAGCAGCGTGCTGGTGCAGGTGTACGAGGGCGAACGGGCCATGACCAAGGACAATAACCTGCTGGGCAAGTTCGACCTGACCGGGATTCCCCCGGCGCCCCGCGGGGTCCCCCAGATCGAGGTAACCTTCGACATCGACGCCAACGGCATCCTCAACGTCACCGCCGCTGATAAGAGCACCGGTAAAGAAAACAAAATCACCATTACCAACGACAAGGGTCGTCTGAGCAAGGACGACATTGACCGGATGGTGCAGGAAGCGGAGCGGTACAAGTCGGAAGATGAGGCCAATCGTGACCGGGTCGCCGCCAAAAATGCGGTAGAGTCCTATACCTACAACATCAAGCAGACGGTGGAAGACGAGAAACTGAGGGGCAAGATTAGCGAGCAGGACAAAAACAAGATCCTCGACAAGTGCCAGGAGGTGATCAACTGGCTCGACCGAAACCAGATGGCGGAGAAAGATGAGTATGAACACAAGCAGAAAGAGCTCGAAAGAGTGTGCAACCCCATCATCAGCAAACTTTACCAAGGCGGTCCTGGCGGCGGCGGTTCTGGAGCCTCCGGGGGACCGACCATCGAGGAAGTGGACTAAGCTTGCACTCGAGTCAGCGTAAACCTCTTTTCCTTTCTTTTTTTTTCTTCTGTTTTCCCCTTTGAAATGCCTTTGTCAAGTCTGAGGTCTGTTGCTAAGTCTTTAGCCCGTGTATGCATATAAAAGGAAGGTGCAACTTAGTTTAATTATAAAAGGTTAGTTTCCAGTTTGATTTAAAACCATTATTTGAGGGGTTTTAACTCATTTAGGTGTTTGTTTTGACTTGAGCATTTTTGAGTAGCTTAGTTTGTGATGGAGATTTATTTGAAATGAGAAACCTGAAGTTTGACAATAATAAGTTCTGAAGCTTGGTAACAATAAAACATATAGAAGCTTGAATGTTTATTTTATGTACTACTTTAAGATTAAACAGAACGTTTAGTAACGTTAAGTGACAGGCATATTGTGCAAACAAAGCATAAATACAAATTTAAAGTAAAGCTGAAATTGATGTCAAAATTACTGTCTTGGAGTTTTTACTTTTCCTCTCTTACAGTTTTAAACATGTTGGTCTTTAGGAGATTAGTAGCTGAGGTGAAGTGTGTCTAAGTCAGTCTTGTCTCAATTCTCAGATGAGATTCCTGCTTTGAATTACCAATAATTTAAGAGGAGAAGATCTGGGTAAACTTTCTCCTCCTTTTAATAAAGAAACTAGACAGTTGGTGTACCCAGTATCAGACTCCTTAGGCTTGGCTTAAGTGTTCAAGAAAAATCCACCGACTATTCCAGCAGAATACAAACTATATTCCTGGGGTTAAGTATAAAGTAAACACTGGGGCAGGAGTTGTCCTCGGACAATAGCCTTAGTATGGAAATAGTTGCTTGCATGCAGGTGCCTGAAACAAGAGCCAGCAGAGCAAACTTCAAAGACCACTTAATATTAGAGTCCATTGTAGTCAAACGTGTTTTTAACTTTAATTTTCTAGTGAAAAGCTTAAGTGTGAGCTAATAAGGCTGTGTCTTCAAGGTACCATTACCTGGGATAGAGGAGATAAAGATTTTTTTTTTTTTCTGATTTGAGAATCTTAATGCTTTTGGAATACCTGCCTTAACTCACTAGAATAGAGTTCTTTCTAAAAGAGAAAAGTGCAAGTAGTCCGGTTTTTGTTAATACACAACATACCCATTTTCTCATATTTGATTTGAGATTGTTAAGCAGATAAGAATATTGTAACCCTTGGGATCCACTATCCTGGGCTTAAGCTTTAAAATCCACATCCATAGGAGAAGGGACTCATGTTTGTATTTTTGAAGGAATGACACTTCTGCTTTGTTCTGATTTATTCTCAGGGAACTTGGGAAACATTCAGTAAATCTGATTGTTAATCAATGTATCTTCATCACATATAGACACTTCGATATCTCTTTTCAAGTGATGTAGATTTAACTATTTGTTCATAAGATAAAAGTGAATTATAGAAGCTATGTTTTTAGTAGTGGACCCTTCTGTATCATGTAGAGAGATTAATATTTTAAATAATATAAAAAACTAGAGAACAAATTAGCCTAAAAAATGTTGAGCTTTATAATAAGCCTGACCTACAAGAGCTGACTCATGTACATTAAAGCTTTTTATTTTTTTAAGCAAAGTCATTTGAGTGGATGGGAGTGAAATAAAAAGGCAATATTGAAATTGTCTCAAAATAAACTTAAAAAATATTTAAGGAAATTGCTCTTTACACTGAAAAGCTGGTAACTCAGGTATTTTAATGCTAATGCCACATTTTAATGCTAATGCCTTGGAAAGTTTTCAGCAAGGAGGCATTAAGAGTGTTTAATTAACTACAGATAGCATCACATAAATATTTGACAAATTACCTTAGTACTAACAGAATCAGGTGAATACTAGCATTAGAGTGATGTTTAACATGAATTTTTTCCAACATAATGCTCATTCTATTAACCTTTTCTTAGTCCTTTATTTGTTGAAAGCACTTATCCCTTGCTCTAACTTCAAAATATAATGGAATCTTTCTGTAAGTGCAAAAGGGCAATTTGGTAATAGTATGTTTCATTTTAGACCTTTCTTTAGAAATTAGTTTCTAAAGTATCAGAAAAAATGACCAATGGTAGTCTCTTTGACTATCCTATGGCGTGGCCTCTGGTAACTTGCCATAACACAAATATCAGTATGCAGATACTGCATTTTCTGTTATTCTGAAAAGTAATTTGCAAAACACCCAGCCTTCTTGAGTGTTTTTAATTTTGTCTTCTCGAATTTATCTAGATCTGAATATTGCAAAGATAAAGGCACCAAACTAGCCATTCAGTGTTTCCATGGGTCATTTGAAACCGGTAACTGGATAACTCCTGGGAACTCCTTAGCAGATGTTAGATCAGCCATAGTCAAATGACAATGGAAAAAGTACTTGATGTTGAATGAGGCTAAATTACAGTTTAAGGAATAATTAGCATCACTTGAACTTGAAAGTAGTGTTACACTAGGGACTAGTCATGTCTAAGGCTAATGCAGTACATACAGAATGCTAAGGGATTAAAAACATTTCTCAGATGGGCACTTAAATCCTTACCTGAATGTCTGACTAATATAGTTCCTGTTTTGAGGCAGTAAGTCTAAACACCTGTCAAAATAAGACCTAGCAGGTTGTTTACAGGATTTGAGACCCAGAAATTTCAAAACAAGCTTACTCTAAATTTTTTATTGCATTAGTTTGATGTATATAGTGGTAATTAATGGTTGTTCATGAGGAGATTTTTTTTTAAGTTTATTTTTGAGGAGGGGTGGAGGGGCAGAGAGAATTCCAAGTAGGCTCCATGCTCAGCACAAAGCTTGAGGAGAGGCTGGATCCCACGACCGACCACGAGATCAAAACCCTGAGATCACAACCTGAGCTGAAATCAAGAGTTGGATGCTTAACCAACTGAGCCACCCAGGCACCCTCATGAGGAGGTATTAATGCTGCTCACATCTTTAAACTTAGCATGCATAATAGGATATTTAATGTATCACCTGTATGATCTATCAGGGAGACTTAATGAGAATTTCTTTATCCTATGAATTGAATGTAGTTTATAATGTGCTGTGAGGCATGTTCCCCTTGCTTTTGAACACTGGAATTAAAGTTTTAAAGAATCTCAAGTCCATACATCACAAGACAATTGCTAAGGCAATATGTATGTTTAGGTTAAGGAACAACAACCTAAACAACCTAGTTTAGGTTAGGTTAAGGAATATTCAGTTGCTTCTGTATAATGTCTAAATAGAAATGAGAAAATGGTTTTGAAGGGTTATCCTTAAGCATTAAAATTAGATACAGAAAAGTTGATACATTCCTTAAAAATTATGGATCTTAGGAAAAGAGCCCAATATTTATTCTTGAGATAGCTCTCGGAATACTTCAGGATATATGCATTTCTGAGATTTAATAGGGTGATGTTTAGTGTTGAAATGTCTTTCCCTTAGAACAAATTAAGAAGCCATAGGTTCTTTTCCTCTTTCAGTTTAGGTTGTTTGTGAATTGAAGATTGAGGAAATAAGCAACCAAAAATGGAGTTGATCTTCAAATACTGGAATTGCTATTTTCTTACATGTTAGTTTTTATTTAATGTTTATTTTTGAGAGCGAGCATGTGAGCACAAGTGGAAGAGGGGCAGAAAGAGAGAGACAGAATCTGAAGCAGTCTCCAGGCTCTGAGCTGTCAGTGCAGAGCCCAAGGCGGAGCTCAAACAAACTGTGAGATCATGACCTCAGCTGAAGCTGGATGCTTAACCAACTGAGCCACCCAGGTGTCCCAAAAATCTTTTTTTTTTTTTAGAGGAAGGGAGAGGGGCAGAAGAAGAGAGGGAGAATCCTAAGCAGGCTCCATACTCAGTGCAGAGCCCAAATTGGGGCTCGATCCCACGACCCTAGGATCAAGACCTGAGCTGAAATCAAGAGTCTGTTGTTCAACTGACTGAGCCATCCAGGCACCCCTCACATGTTAGTTTTTAAAGGTAGAATTATAATACTTTGAAAATCTCTCCATTATGACTTTTTCATACATAAGCATACATTATATTCAGTCTTTGGCCTACAATCTGCGATCAGCAATTTAGTTCTATCTTACATGCTCTTAGTTACATGACCTTGGGAAGTTTCTCTTCACTAGGCAAACAAAACAAAACAAAACAAAACAATTTCCCTCACAGGACACTTGAAACTTAAATATTTAGAATACTACCTTTATCCCTACTTTATAACATCATGAATTTTTTTTTAAAGGGAAAACTTTTTGTCATGTTACTTTTATGTAGATCATTGGAGTTCTCAACTCTTATTTTTTACCTTAATTTTGTACATTAGCTTGAAGTTAATCTATAGTGAAGTATAAAAGGTCTTTGGTTTTCCGTTTGCATTTCTTCATTCACTGGGATAAACTGAAGAGGTTGACTGAAGTGTGGTCTTCCTGATAATGGTTGTGAGGTGAATGGATTCTACCAAGAGTCCTTGGTGTTTCTCAGACCTCTGTGGAGCTTCAGCTCATTTCTCCCTGTCCTCCCCACCCCAAGTGATATACATTGTTAGATGAAAAACTCTTGGTGACTGGGATTTTCTTACTCCTATTTCAAGTGAGCCATTCACCATGTATAATTGGCCAGTCCTGAGGCCACAGCCTCAAAGCCCCACTGCCAGTGGATAGGTGGGTTTCCATATAATCTGAACAGCAGTGGACTGGAGTAGAACATGAATCTAGCTGATTACAGTTTTATGCCACCGGAACCAGTGATTATGTGTTATCAAGTAGACTGGGAGAGCGAGGTAAGGGGAAGCAGTGGGATGGCTAGTGCCATACGTTTTAAATTTATGGGAGTAAGTTACTAACTATTTACTGAGGAGCTCTTAACCGTATTAGGCTACGGGGATAAAACAAAGGCAGAATATATTAGGCATTCTCAATAATGTAGTGATATCTAGCATTGCTTACATCAGTGTTGGAAGGGAAAAAAAAATACCAACGTCTGAGTATCTACTCGGTTGCAAGAAGGAATTAGAAGACACATGATTTGAAAAGTGAAAAGCAGACACGTAAAAATGTTATTGAATACTCATGGACACGAAGCAAGTTTTCTTAGAGCAACACTAATTTTGAGTTCGGAAGGGCGGTGCCTTATACACATTCCTCCTTAAAAATCCTAATTCCTGATTTGGGTATCTTCGGACAGAGGTTCAGAGTTGCCTTGCCCTGGGTCAACACATCTAGTTATGCAGTAGAACCAAGTTAAGAAACCTGATTTCCACGCATCCTTCCCTGAACCTCCCCCACACCCCCATCGACTTAATCCCAACCTGGATTTGAAATTTAGTGCTAGTAAATTTAGTGCTAGTAAATAGGGACAAAGGGATCTTCCCTATGAAACTGGATCTTGGTATTCCAATTACGAACGAAGACAATTCAGTGCTTTGCCTCACAGCTGGAAGGCCAGGTAGAATCGACCCCTGCAGAAATAACCCCTGGGCAGCTACACCACGGATACGCCAAAAAGGGGCCACGGCAAAGGTAGAAAGTAGACGGAGCCCCGCGAGGGCCGGACCGGGCGGAGGCGCCTCCC